GCTCAGGTGCACAAGCTGTTAATGCAGAAGAAAAAAGGGCGAGAAGAGTCTGTCCAGGAGTATGTGTTAGCAATGCGAGAAATCGGAAGTAGAGCAAACTTGGAAGCGGAAGTTATAATACAGTATATTATAGATGGTATTCCAGACGACGCAGCGAACAAAATTATTTTGTACGGAACTACAAACTTCGCGGAGTTTAAAGAGAAAATCAAGCTGTACAATCAGATTAAAACAGCAGGAGGATACGCTAGTCAAGGACCAAAGCCAAAAAGGGAATGGAAATATGAAGAGTATCGGAATAAAAAAACTGAGAAGCCTAAAATAGAAAATAATAGAAGTGTCGTCTGCTACAACTGCGGAAAGAAAGGACACAAATATTGGGAGTGTCCAGAGAAGGGCAAGGGGATAAAATGCTTTAACTGCAACGACTTTGGACATTTGTCAGCCAGATGTCCTAAACGCGCAAGTAAGTCGGATTCCGTAAATGTTATTGAATCAATTCCTAAAAATAGTGTGAGACTCGTTATTGATGGGGTTGAGACAATCGCACTATTTGACACGGGAAGTGACATAAGCGGATTGCGGGAAGATGTTTATAATCAATATTTTTCGAAAATATCGTTAGACCAAGAAAGAATACCTCTTAAGGGTCTAGGCAATAATACGGTACGAACTATAGGCTCATTCACTCACGAGGGTATAATAAATAATGAAAATTGTCTTCTTAAATTATATATTGTCCCAACGCAGGCTTCAAATTTCAGGGCGATAATTGGTAGTGATATATTGACCCAGCTAGACGTAATTATAAATACGGACGGAGTCACGGTATTGAAAAAAGAAACTAGGATTTTTTTAATGGCGATCTCTTTAGATAACGATCGGCAAGATTTGGAGTTAGATCTCACACACATAGAGGAGGAGGAGAAACGAAAAACTATTAGAAAATTAGTACTAGGCTATCAGCCTAAAAAAATCAGGGACGTAAACATCGAGATGAACATTGTCCTAAAAAACGAGGAACCTATCTACCAAAGACCAAGGAGATTGGCACCACCGGAAAAGAAAATAGTTCGGGAGCAAGTCGAAGAATGGTTGGAACAGGGCATTATCCGCCCAAGTTCGTCGGATTTTTCCAGTCCTATCGTATTGGTGAAAAAAAGGGATGGACGGACTCGAATTTGTTGCGACTATAGAAAACTAAACCGAAATGTTATAAAAGATCGTTTCCCATTACCCATAATAGAAGACGTCCTCGATTGTTTACAGGGAGCGAAGATATTCAGCACCATAGATTTAAAGAATGGATTTTTCCATGTCCCTGTGGGAAAAAACAGTATTAAATATACATCCTTCGTAACCCCAGATGGACAATACTAATTTCTCAAATGTCTGTAGCGTTATAACTGCTACATTGCCTGCTTCCTTTCTTATGTTAATATATTTCGTTAATTCTATTCTCCAATTTCCGTATCTTCTGTCATAATTCATATTCTTCTATATCCTCCATTGTGTCTCTTATTTTTCTATATATTTTCTAGGATATAGATTGTATCAGAATTATGTCGTTACATAATTAATTCATTATTCTCTTTTCATTTTTACTGGTATTTGGTATAAAAACCAGTTGGCGTCCAAATCTATCTTCTTTATATATATATATTTTAGCATCTACCTTTCCTATTTTCTTAATAATCATCATTTTTATCTTTTACTTAAGTTTCTAAAGAGTGAATTTTATTTTCATCTCTATTTCTGTTACTTTGGAACGAGAGGTCCCATCTTTATTCTTTGTCGACATTGCTCCTTCCCATTCGATACAAAAGTCGATATAAAGACTTCTATTTTCTAAAAATGTCGATTTTCTTCATGACTTCTCTAAGAGTAGAATAACCAATTGTTGTGTCGTCTCCAGATTTGGAGGTAAGTGTATAATATATTTTATCGATTTCCTAATTCCACCTGTTGTATAAAAATCTTTTTATAATTTTAACTTTAAAAATTCTAAGCTCATTATTTGGTATGACATGTAAGTAGATACATATTTTTTTTGGATATCTCTATGTTTTTTATTTTTATATAAAAAACTAGCGATAAGAAATATATAGTTTCTTTAATATAATATGTAAAAGTTTTACGAATATTTTTATAGTTTTAAATATGAATATTAAATCCATAATATCTTTTGATTTTAATAATAATTAACTTTTGACAAACTACTTACTACTACTACTTATTCTAAATTATCTAGCTTTTCAATAAATATATCTTGTCATTTTTTTTTAATTAATATTAGAATATTTCAGTTTTAAAAAAGTAATTACCATTTGCATTAAAGTTATATATCCTTACTTTTACTTATTTGCCTGTGATAAGCACATAAATAAGAATTGTTTCTCGACTTGCTTGGGTGAATAATGATAAAATTTTGTTAAATTTGATTGGTCACCTTATTCATCCCCCAAGCAAGGTCTCTCATTGTGGTTTCACCATTTTCTAAAGCAAGGTGTGTTTTTCTTCATTTTAGTCAACCTCCGGGATACATTTCTCAGGTGCGGGTCAAATTCTATTACCATCCAGAAGACCAACCGGCCTGAGAATGGAACCATTATTCCAATAGGAGAGTTGACTCCGAGACAAGGAAATCCAAAACTACCAACATGGCTTGCTAACAACCAGAGCAGAAAAGACCAGAATAAAACTTAGGATTTGGTGACAAAAATTGTTCTTTCATATACATAATGTAACACTGTAGCAAGAAGTCGAATAATTTTTATTTAAATTTAACACGATACTTAACATTTATTTTTCTGTTTTTTTTATATCTTAATAAACATGTGTTAATTTAACTGTGTATTGTTTCTTCTTTTTACTTGTTTGTGTGTGTTGCTCCAGAGTAGGCCATATTCACGTCCTGAGTGAGCTAGCCAGGGAGTGTTTCGTATAACGTCTAATGTAGCAATTTTGTAATTGATACATTAGGGGTTATGACGTTAAAAATTGGTCCCAACGAGAAACGATTTGTCACTCCAACGTTGTTAGTGATGTTAGTCAGGTTGTAGCAGCAAACTAAGGTTTGCGGTTACAGGTTGATAACAGCAGCTCAACGTTGGGATGTTACAAATTGAGCCTCGAAGGGTTACAAATTGGCACCCAATGAATATTTGTTGGCACGTCATAGATTGACGTCCAAGGAATGTTCGTTGGAACGTTACATGTCCGTTCGGATTATGTAATAGTCCAGCCGTTTTCCAGAGATATATTGCCCATATTCTCCGACCTCTGACGACAAAGAATATCGTAATATTTTATATGGACGATATTATAATCCCAAGCAGTAATGAAGAGGAAGGACTCGAAAGACTTAAAATAGTGCTTGAGTTAGCAAAAGATTATGGATTAGAAATTAAGATTAAGAAGTGTCAGTTTCTAAAGAAAAGAGTGAATTTTTTAGGATTCATAGTAGAAGACGGAAGCATACAACCCTCGGAGGAAAAAAGTTCAGCTATCAGGAGATATCCTGAACCAAAAACGTTGAAACAAATCCAGTCGTTCCTGGGATTAACAGGATACTTTAGAAAATTCATATCTTCTTACGCATTGATAGCTAAGCCATTAAGTGACCTATTAAGGAAGGATCAGCCATTTATTTTTGACGAACCGCAGAAAGTTTCGTTCGGCAGGTTAAAGGAATTACTCTGTAGCGAACCGGTGTTACACATTTATCAACCAGGACTTGATTTAGAACTACATACCGACGCTAGCCGATATGGTTACGGTGCTTGTCTATTGCAACGAGCAAACAAGGACCACCGTTTACATCCGATTTTTTATATGAGCAAGAAAACCACACCAGCCAAGGAAAAGTATTCCAGCTACGAGTTAGAAGTTCTTGCGATTATTCAAGCTATCAAGAAGTTTAGAATTTACCTGCTGGGCGCTAAATTCAAGATTGTTACGGATTGCCTTGCATTTCAAAAGACGATGTATAAAAGGGATTTAACTACTAGAGTGGCTAGATGGGCGTTACTTTTGGAAGAATATTCTTACGAAATAGTGAACGCTAAAGCTAATGATCGTTATGATGTCGCTAAAGTGGGGACATTCGATGGTCCAATTAAAACCTCTACATGCGCAGAGTTCATGAAGCCGTGGATTGATAACCACTCGGAATCCGAGGCGGATTCTGATCAGGACGGACGAGTGTAGGAATTAGTTACTTTAGTCTTAAGTTAGAACTTATCGTTACGCCACTGTTCGAGCGCTGGGAAACGGGTGTTCAGGCAAATGGGTGGGAACTCGACGACGAGAGAGCGACGTGATAAGACGTAGCAGAGAGAGCGGTTACAAAAGTACGGTATGTGCATGTGCGGCATACAAAGTGACGAAATAAACGACGGTATGTGATATAACATACATTAACGACGGTATGTGATATAACATACATTGACGACGGTATGTGCGAAATCAGAGATCATACAAACGACGCTATCGAGTAATAAACGACGGTACGACGATAGACACGAGACATTTGCGAATAAGAGTTATTGCTATTGTGCACGAACATTATTACCTAGACGAACAGTTGTAGTGACGATAATAAATACTTTTAGTAAGCAAAGCTTTATTTTACACCCTAGACAACACAACAAAGCCTATATATATATATATATATATATATATATATATATATATATATCTTATTATTATCACTGATTACCAAAATTATGAATACCCTGAATTTTGTATTAGTAACAGTATAGAACTTACCGATTCAAAATTTTTTTCTGAGGATTTCAAAAAATCCTCAAAATTCGCAAACTCTTCTTCCGAATCCACAGGCAGGGAGAAATTTTCCCATACATTCAATATAGTTGGCTGTTCTCGGAGTTCTCGGGGTGATGATGTAGATATCTTAGAAAGATTACTGACTTCAGTAATAGTCCACTGACTCCAGTAAAAAAAAGAGAACATTTATGTGGGATTAATATAACTAGTTGTTAAAAATTTTTCATACCCTCATTTTTTTGTTGTTGTTTTTCACATTTACATGCTGCTCCATTTTTTCCACTGCTGTCAACTAAAATATAAAATAGGTTAAAATTAAATATTTACTTATAGCTGTGATATAAAAAGATACAGTGGAACTTCTATGTAATTCATAAGAAGCATAATTAAATAAGGCCTAATAGAAACAAATTTCTATTTGCCCCTATTTGCATGAGTGGCATTGTAGCAAATATTGTATAAAAGATAATTATGGAAGTTTCACTCTGATGCTATTATTTTATATTTTCTCTGTACCTGATTCTACATCTACCATGGTTTCTTTCGCACAAACCTCTTCCTGCAAAGAATCTGAATTACCTAAAAAACAGAGCGAATTTAATGGGAAATAATTCCTAAAATATAAATTATATAGGTAAAAACAAATCTAAAAACTTGTGGTGAATTACTTGATGCTTTACTTAATGCAAATTCCGGCATTTTTGGAAGATTGCTTTGGATAGTTTTATGCCCCATGGCACTCTCTAACTCTGCTGCTGCTGCTAGTGGTGGCAAACTTTGTAGGAGGACGGCGTCTGCGAGGTCTATTATCTGATGAGTTGAGGTCAGATGTTTCCTCCGCCTTCTGGCACTTCCTCCTTGCAATACTGTAATCATCTATGAAAAAAATTATTTGTTTATTTATATAGATCAACTAGAAGGTCTATATACATTTCTTACCATAGGTCGCATTTCTAAATGAACTTATTTCATGTTTTTCTCACGTAGGTAGAGGTGGTTCACCATTTTTTAGGGCCTTTCCTAATTTATTGGCCTCATAATGTGGCCAAGAACAGGTATTGCCGCTTAGCCAATTTGTTGGCACAGCCTCCACTGAACCATCTTTTAAAAATCTAACTATTGTCCAGGTTTTCATGATAACACTAATATAATTAAAAGCAGCAAATTTTATGTTTAAAACATAACCTTAGATTAACCATAAGTTCAAATAGAATACAAAAGGGATTATAATAAGTCTAATTTAGAATCAAACTAATTGCCAAATATCGAAGGACTCCCCCATAATCACTCTAAGGGAGTAAGAAAAGAAGCCTTATTATGTGTTGACGTTTGGGGACTTTAAATAAATAAATATTTTGAAATTGAATCCCTACACATGTGAAAACATTAAATGGTAAATGTTCTTTTGAGACAAGATAACATACAACCTAAACTGGCGTTAAACTATAATATATAATATATAAATTATAATATTAAAATTAAAACTATATGGAAAATTCCAATATATAACTAAACAAAATTATAATAAATTTTTTTAATAAAATATTTTATTTTGTCACTAAAGAATGTCTGTATGTAACATAGGCATTATAACAAAGCTATCTTTATAACTTAATACATTTATAGGCAATATTTTCTACTTGAAATACTTGAAGGGGACCTGAGCTTTTAACAAAATGTATGTTTAAATCAGAAGACCTGCAGGGTTTACAAAAAAAAATCTTCTTTAATCTGATACTTATAGCCAATAATAACAATATCTCCATTCAAACTGGTAAAATTTTGAATAGTTTCTAAACTACCATCTTTTAAAGCACAACAATTATTTGGTTCAAAGATTTTTAGGGTAAATTCGTTAAAAATAAGAGACTCAAACTAAGGAAATGTATCATTTTGAACTAATGGTCCTTTATCATGTTGTCGTTTTGTTTTAAATTTTTTTTCAATTTCAATATTTACTTTATTAACCTGCTTATGATAATTAATTTCTATAATTCTTTTTACAACCTGAGCCAAAGGATTATCTCGTTTTCTCACTAGATTTTTGAGCTTTTGAAGCATGTTCTCAAACGGAAAAGTACTAAATTTGTCTAAAACTCCCATATAATTGACATCTTTAGAAATATGTAGCAAATTATGAATGTTATTAGATACATGCTTCTCTCCGTATAGGACTATAAAAGAATCAACAAAATATTTCATTAGAGTTTGGGCCAAGTTTGTATGTTTAGCATATTTTGGATTTGTTAAGAGCATGCATGCAATAGAAAGGGCTAAAAAATTTTTGTATAAACTAGAAGATAAAACTGATTTTAGTACAATAGGTCCAGTGTAAAATAGAAATTGTCTAAACTCTGTGGCTTTCCACCTTTTAACTTCAGTAAGAGATCTTGGTTTTCTAGTAAATTCAGATGGAATATATGACTTTTGAAGAAGTAAAAGTTCTGATATTTTTGATACATCTTTTGCTGACAATTTATTTCCAGACTGTGAATCAAAACACCATAAATACAATAACTTACGCAATGTTCCTAAACAAATTAAATGCATATAATCTAACACAAAACACTGTATAATGTCAAAATTAGGTAACTTTTCTAACAAAGATGTGCCATTATGATGTCTTGGATCACTTTTGCTTCTAAATTCATTGTCAGACCTATCAATTAAGTTTTCAGTATATGGAAAACAAATTCTATTGTCTCGATATTTACCTTTAACATGGCACTTAGAACAACTATTATAACCCATATGACCTGTAGTAAATATAATAAAAGTTTTTGCAGGAACATCACAAATAATTGGTTTAATAACAACTGATATGATATTAAAACTTAACCCAACATTTAAAAGTTCAACAGCCTCAGTTAGAAAATCAATTAAAAGTTCATTTGCATCTTTTGGTTTCTGATAACCATGGTAAATGCCTGTTACACCTACAATTTTTGGATCTATAAATAAATTACACAAAATAGGATAAAACTGACTACCAGAAACCTTTGTCAGTGGAACTTCATCAAAATTTACACAAATTTCTATAACATTGTTTTTTTGCGAAGATAAAAAAACTTCTGAAATTTTAATCATATGGATCAGAGTATTTTTAAGACCGAAGTGGAAGTATTTTCCAGGAAAAACATCTTTAAATTTGAGATCTCTGGGTGAAGCAAGAAGGGTTCTAGCATCTGATGGCAAATGAGAAAGATCAGGAACTTCTTTAAGAATTTTTAATAAATCACTTAATGCATTTTGTGGTATTTTAAAGGACAAAGCCCAGTTGTATAATTTATTAGAAAAATTAAAAACTTCACGAGAAGGTTCCCCAGAATTCTCGTTACAACTACGTTTAGACCCTTGTTCATCAGTTTCACTTAAAGAATAACTTTCTGAAGAATCTAAATCAGAATGGTCATCCATTTAGTCCATTCTGATTGTTTTAGGTAATTGATATGATGTTGATAAGTTTAAATCGGAAGTATAATCTGAACTAATTGAACTGCAACTCGCATCACAATAATAGGCTATAGATTCTGAAGAAAGGTTTGTAGAGAATTGAATAGCGGAGTTATTAATATTTTCAACAATATTCTCTACATTTTTTTTCTTAACTATTCTCTGTTGATGGCGCTTAGAAACAAATCGTTTTCGTTTAAACATGCTTAGTTTTAGAAAGAAATGCACTTACCTTTTTTTAAAATAAGAATCGTTAAAACAAAACAAAGTAGAAAGTAAATAACGAATCGTATACAAAAGTCTTTAGTAAATAATATGTATCTATTATCACCAAATCAAGCAGCAAATAGGACCTCTTAATTCATTACATTTGTTTAAATAGGTGTGACATGACAATGACAATTGATATTAATTTCATCATTTTATGTCACATTTTTACCTATTAGAATGAGCAAACTTTTATATCATCTTGGTAACTATAGAATAATAAACAAAAACATGTTTTGGATATTAAACTAACTAAACAATTTTTAATAAATCATGATTTTACCTCTTCGATTTTAATTATTTTACCAACGTAAATAAGTTTTATTGAAATATTTGATCTAATAGGTGGTATATATCACAAATATCCAGATAACGTCCGTAATTCGTCCAACTACGGACGTCCAGAGAACGTCCGCGGACGGACGTCCAGAGAACGTCCATATTTAGTCCACCCGAAGTACGTCCCTCGCCGTACGGCCATAGGACGTCCGTGTAACATCCACGGACGTCCGGACCAAAACTGGACGTATTTTGGACGTCCATAGGACGTCGTGTGTTATTAGGGATACTAATATAATATATATATATATATATATATATATATATATATATATATATATATATATATATATATATATATATATAGGTATATTTTATAAGTATGTTTGAAATATCGGGTATGTGGTCTATATTAAATTAGAAATCTCAGTTTTTTCTAAAACTCAATATTTCGCCATTTATTTAATAGCTTCATCGGTAGTAACTGTAAAAAACAAACATTTCAAAAAACTGACGTACACTTAGATTTACACAGAATTTACACAGATTTTACTTACAGAAATTAAAAGATTTCACACATAAATAAAATTAACATTAAAATAACATTATTGCTGATGTATATGTAAATCCAATAAAATGCATGTTAAAATTTAAATATTTTTGAGCACATTCGTTAACAATAAATAAGATGGAACAAGTAAAAGTTATTTTAAAATGCAAAAAATAATATAATAAGTTTGTTTATTTTTGTTGATGTGGTACAGTTGCGGTCACGGAATAGTTTACAGGTTCACGTATCTAGGAGCCCATTTTTTAAATTTTTACTTCGTTTAAACGCACCTTTTACGTCAAAGTGACGTTGCCAGTGGTGTACTAGTTAGAATAGGTAGATTAAAATTAAAATATCAAAATATTTTACAAAATGAAAAATATAGAAAACAGTTTTTTGAATAAAATGGATTATGATCTTAATAACGAAAATAAAGAAGTCTTTTTTTTTAATATGCATTTTATTTTAAATCTATTTTATATTAAATAACGATAAACAATGATAAATAATAATTAATATTTGGTGGAAGCCCCATTCTTGTCAATACAATTTTGCAGTCTTCTGTTCATAGATAGCACCAATCCCCTCATGTTGTAGTTAACAAGCTCTTCCCATGCCTGCTCAATTGCTTCCCATAATTCAATTCTATTCCGTGGTCTAAGGTTTCTTTCATTTAGTTTCTTTGTTAACTCTGCCCACACATTTTCGACGGGGTTAAAGTCTGCACTACGGGAAGGCCACGGAAGAACATTAACATCAGTTTCTTCTAGCCATTCTCGAACAATTCTACTCGTATGTACCGGGCAATTGTCATGTTGGAAGATAAAGTCGTTGTTGGGGAATCTCTGGATCACCGATGGCAACATTGTGTGCTCAATAATATGTTTGTAATATAATCCTGTTAACTTCTCCTCTACATGATAACAAACGCCCGGGCCTTCGGCACTTATCCATCCCCATACGTTGACAGAGAATCCTCCACTATTTCTTAAATGATGCGTATACTGTTCATCATACCTATGATTTCTCGGCCTATAAACTCTTATTCGACCATTATTATACGACTGAAATACTTTTTCATCGGAAAATACAAGAAGAGAGCGGTTTATAAATTCATTACAAAATTCAACTCGTCTCCTCTTGTGATCCTCAGTCAAAAAAGGTTTCCGTGCAGCTACACAATTTAGCAGTCCACTTGCTTTAATTCTTCGACGTGCAGTGCGAATACTGCCTGGAAACGCTGCCTCTTCTCTTGCCTTTTGAGCTGTGGCAAAAGGAGATTCTCTCAAATAATCTACTAACATCTCATCCTGTTGATCTGTGGAAATCTTCTGCCCTCCTGAACCGCCCAACCGTGCTATAGAGTGAAAATTATCCCATCTTTGTTTAATCTTCCATATGCACATATGACTCACGTTCAAATCAGCAGCAACTTGCCTTAGTGACCAACCTTCTTCGAGTTTGGCAATTACTCTTGCTTTTTGCGCATAATTAAAATGTATTCTAACCATTTTGGAAGAGTTTAATATACTTTTATTTTATTGTTGAACACTCGCGAAAGCATTGACGTTTTGAAATTTTTTGACTTTGACATTTATCAAATCCGTACGACACTGCAATTTTACAGTATTACAATATAAAAAGTAAGGTGTAAACTATTCCGTGACCGCAACTGTACATCTCCAAAAATAACCTACTTTTGTAATTTTCAGTCTGTGCCAAAATACGAAGATTGTTGTAGTCTAACAGATGACCGGTGTTTTTATAGTGCTTAACTACTGCATAAGTATTTTTTCTTAAGCGGCAATCACTTTTATGCTGTGTAATATGTTGTTTTAGCTACTGCGATATATGGCCAATGTAGCTTTTTTCACATCCTAGACACGGTATTTCATATACCACATTACTCCTATATAAGGTTGATGTTGGGTCTTTAATTTTAGAAAAAAGTTGTTTGCTATTTATGGTATTGTATTTAGCTATATTAATATTGGAAACATCTTTAAATATGGATATGACAGAATGAGTTAGACCATTTATAAAGAGGAGTTTGTTTATAAACAAACTTTAAATTATAAAACAGACACGGGGCAATTAAGCAACATATATTGTAATATATTGAACAAAATTTAAAACTACACTCACCTTAATGATTAATCATACTAACTAGCCTTAATGATTAATTAAAGAAATAATATTCCTCTAATGTATTCTTACATTGTTATTATTTGCATTTTGAAATAACTTTTACTTGTTCCATATTATTTATTGCTAACGAACGTGCTCAAAGATATTTAAACTTTAACATGCATTTTATTGAATTTACATATAGATCAGCAATAATGTTATTGTAATGTCATTTTTATTTATGTGTGAAATCTTTTAATTTCTGTAAGTATTGTAAATCTAAGTGTACGTCAGTTTTTTGAAATGTTTGTTTTTTACAGTTACTCCCGATGAAGCTATTAAATAAATGACGAAATACTGAACTTTAGAAAAAACAAAATATATATATAATATATATATATATATATATATATATATATATATATATATATATATATATATATAAACTACATTTGTAATAGTTTCTTATATTTTCAAATAATATATTCACTGTTCTTTCAAGTTCATCTTAAGTAAAGCAAAACAATACAAATATAAAAAAATAGTATCGCCTAATCATCGGGTAAATCCTCGTCAGTAGCATACTCCGATTCTCTGTCATTCGTTTCTGCCGGATCCTCCTCTTCGGAGTCTTCGAACTCCCATTGTGGATGCTCTTTGATTTCTGCAGGAGCTTCTTTAACATCTAACTTGATGTCTTTCTGTTGATCAAAGCCTATGTATGAGTCAGATCGTAGACAGACAGTGAAAGTATAAACTGCTGGCCAATTGGGAGCAGTGAACTGAAAATATCAAACATTAAAATGTTAAAAAGTTGTTTTGGAGTAAAAAATTTTAAATTATAACAGTATTTTCTGCTATTTTTATTAGCGTTTTTCTTTTTATTAATAAAGTTGTGCATTAACTGTTTTAGCAGAAAGGTAATAAACACGTCTAAAAACAAAATAAGAAAATGTAAAAAATATGTGATAATGAAAATACGACAGTAAAGGAAGAATGTCTAACCTAGGAAATACCTCGCTTTAAGGACTACAGCGGTTGCTCCATAAATTTTTGATGGCAATGTTATTCCTTCAAGTGATTCATCGTAGACACAGTATTTCTAGTTTGCAAAATGAGCTTTAATAAATGGTTATTGTATATCATTCCTATTAGAGGGATATTCATACCAATTGATTTATTTCCACTATTCAAGCGTTGTATGAAATCAAATGAATTAATTTCTAAAATCTCTATCTATCGTAAGATATAAATCTAGATATTTAGATAGAGATTTTCATCAAGACCCAGCTGTTTTGTTATCTAGGAAGGTGTTCGGAATGAGAGCAACATTACAGAGGGTAATAAGTATAGTATCCTCCATTATCTACTTTTTGTATAACAGTACTTGGGAATTTATCGTTGTATGAACTCTTATATTAGTAACCTTTATTAGTCCTATTCCTCCTAGATATCGTGGTAACGTTGTTCATTCTATTGCACTGCAAGGATAATGTTTTTGAAAATTATTGATGAGTAGTATATCTCGTTTACACATGGTATAAATAGTTTACACTTAAGATTTTTCACACGTGTTTTAAACAAATTTTTGCATTTAAGGTATAACTGTAATAACTGTATAACTATAACAACTAAGGTATACTGCAATACCAGTTTCATCCGTTGTATCAATTCGGTTTTATTCTAATATATTTGTACGCATCATTATCGGACATAGCCTCGATGTTTTGGCCATTTTGTATATTGTACTCCGAACCTTACTTTGACTATATTTAGAATACAACACTTTTCTAGTTCGAAGTGCATACTGATACGATGTGATGCGCTAGTGAGTGTGCATTAGTGTATGCGCATCTGCACTAGTGAGTGTGCGTTAATGTATACGCATTTGCACTAATGAGTGTGTTAGTCTATGTGCATGTGCGCTAGTGAATGCCTTAATATATACGCATTTTCGCTAAAGTCTGTAGGTTATTATGTGCGTTAGTGTATTCGCTTGTTGACGAGTGTGTCTTGTACATTCTCTACAATGCAATACCGATTAAAACCCGTCCCCTTCTTCTATTTGTTTCCTCCACGGTACTATCATAAGATATTACTTCACGGGGAGAATCTAACTATTGTTCTTCCTTCATTTTTTTGAAGTCATTGCTTCTCTCCTATTAAGCGTCTCTACTTTCAGCTCGTCTCCTGTCAATGCAGTGAAATCAGGACACGCGAAGAACACGTGTTCCGCATCTTCATTGGCCCCATGACAGGATGGGCACTCTGGAGAATCGTCATGTTTAAAGCGATAAAGATATGCTCGAAGACAGCCATGTCTTGAGAGCATCTGCGTCAGAGATTAGTTGACCTCGCCATGTTTGCGGTTCAGCTAAACATTCTTCTGTGGTATAAAATGATGCGTCCACCTGCCCATTGTTGCGGAATCCCACTGTAATTGCCAACAATCAATACTGTTTTGGCGTTCTCTTCTTCTAAGTTCAGCTCCACACAATGTAGATGTAGTTGACTCTGTTTGTCGATAAAGGCTCTTCCTTTCTTCAGGTAACACTCCAAAGGGTAGCATACTGGCTACGCAATATATTGTATCCGCAGATACTGTATGGAATGCGCTGGCAACTCTTAAAGCGTTCAAACGATATACTGATGCGACCTTCCTCCGTGATTCCTGGGATTCGATAAGCCTTAGTTAGCCCAAATCGATATTCCGTATGTTAATACTGAAGTGACTACTGACGACAAGAACATCCTCCTGCTTTGTTTTGGGCCACCTACATTCGGCATTTGCTGTGACAAGGCTGCTCTTCCTACTGACGCTTTAGCACTGCCATACTCTACTTGCTGCTTGACGCTGAGTCTGGCACATGGACGTAACGTCCATGGTCTGGCATCAATCAGCATTTCCAAGTACCGAAGGAATGGTTGTGATAGCATTTCATGTTTTCCAATACTCAGTAATATGGTTTCCATCTGTTTACGACTAGTAATAAGCACTGCCTCCGTTTTGTGCTTCGCTGGTTTCAAATTAACTGTGAGCATCCACTAGCAGATTCACTAGAAGATAATGTCGACCTTGAGATTTATTTCCTCAATGTGCCTTGCGACGATCACCAAAGCCATGTCATCGGCGAATGTCATTGTGGAAAACAACCGAAAATATACTAGTGTGGTTTGACCCTTGAAAGAGCTATAACAAAACATCCAAATGAAGACATCGGCAATAAGAAAAAATCACCAAAAATTAAATAAATGGACAATAGGGCTCGCACACAGTTTTTCTTGTGTTTTTTGTTTTTTTTTTCTCGTTTAGTTGGTTAAGTTTTAATGTTGTTATCATAGAGTTTTGAGAACATCATAAAAAACCTTCAAATTGTTTTTGTAAGTACAAACACTGTTCGTTTTTTACTTATATTCAAGATCATTTCTATTTGTCGAGAACTAACCTCCGCAATTCAACCATTGAATATATTTTAAATTTAATTAACGGTCGTACTCTTTGCAATGGATATATATATATATATATATATAATATATATATATATATATATATATATATCGATACACTGACAGACCAGACAGTTGGAAAACCAACTCACACTGACAGATACCTACATGCAGATTCACACCACCATCATGCACAATTGAATTCAGTCATAAAAACTCTGACTATAAGATCTGAACGACTAACAGACGAAGAACACAAGAAAGAAGAAATGCAGAAAGTTACAAAAGCGTTAAAAAACAACGGCTTTTCCACACACAAAATCAAAAAGGCACGAAGACCACAAAAAACAACAAAAGAAATAAAAGAAGACGAAAAACCGATTGCCAAAACCACTCTACCGTATATTAAAGTCACAACAGAGAAGATAAGCAGGGTCCTGAGAAAACACAAAATAGAGACTGTCTTCAACACCGACAGAAAAATCGCAAACATATTACCATCTGCCAAGACAAAGATTCCCCTAGAAAACCAAGGAGTATACAAAATTCCCTGTGGAGAATGCGATAGAGCCTATATTGGACAGACAAATAGAAGGATCCAAGTAAGACAAGAAGAACATCGCAATGCCATCGAACGAAAAGAAACGACGTCATCCCTAGCCCAGCATTCTTTAGCTACAGGACACAAAATTGACCTCAAACATACGGTAATGTTAGCGAATGTCGAAAACAAGAGGAAACGAATTATCAGAGAAGCCATAGAAATAGAAAAACAAGAAAATAATTTAAATTCTCGAGACGATGCCCAAAGATTGCCAAAAACATGGAAACCAATTATCCCGAAGAATAACGCAAGAACGGAATCGACCAAGACCCCGCCCACTGACCTGCGCACTGGACCAATTACAAGAGCGCGCGCAACGCACAGTAAATACAAAAGCCAGCTGCTTAACACCCGTAGCGTCACTTCCACTCGAACATCGACAAGAAGCAGACCATCCAGAGAGACTTGAAAATGGCAAGTGAGATCTTGCCGAAACGTCGCCAAAATGGTTTTTATCAAAACCAACAACATTTAACGCGGAGTCAAACCCGGAATACCATTGATATAACATACAGCTCCCGCGGAAATATCAAAACTAACATATATATATATATATATATATATATATATATATATATATATATATATATATATATATATATATATATATATATATATATATATATATATATACATATATATATATATATATATATACATATATATATATATATATATACATATATATATATATATATATAAATATATATATATATATATATATAATATATATATATATATATATACATATATACATATATGTCGAATTTTCTTAAAATGTAAAACTCTAAACGAGGACTTATTCTTAATTTATTTAAGCAATTCTAATAAAATTACTAATACATCCAAATAGCTGGATATTGGTCGAATGTATTTCATGATTAATTATTAAACATTTATTTACAGGGTGTTCAAAATTTGTAGTTTCATTATTGGATTATTCAATGTGTAATATAAGGCTTATTTTAAATGGAACACCCTGTATATTAGTGACTTATTAAATTAAAAAAAAATTTCTCTTTCGAATGATATAGGGATGTCCTATAGCTAGGACCGATAGTTTTGACGTAATTTAAAATTTTATTGAACGGAAATTCATTTCAAATATGTATAATTATTGTTACTTTCGATTTTTAAACCCATCATATTGACATATCATTATAAACGAAACCAGTGTATTGTTCTGAAGCTATTTTCTTGTGGCATTGTAAATTAATTACTATTAAACTGGGAATAAGCCACAATTAAAGATAAAAATACGTTTATTGACGTTTCAATTTCCACTTCGGAAATCGTTCTCAAAATACAAACAGTAAATTAAACAAATTTTGTTTTTTGTTACATAGTGAAAAATTCTTCTAATTTAATTTTATCTGACTCATTTATATTGACAATTCAGACATACATTATGCATTTTAAAGTAGACGACTTATTGACTTATATATTGCCAATATTGTTGAGTTGCGCTCCTGGGACGACTTTACTTATAAGATAGTTCATTCGATTACATGAAATCAACTTTAACTTGAGAATATCCGTCAGAAAAAAATCATAGCATGTAATTCGTCTTTAAAAAGACAAACACATGACATGATGACAGTAAAATTCTCCTGTTAGTGATTCCATAGTAAATTATGAGGGAAAAACCAGGAAAAAAAGTAAGTCAGTAACATATAGAGGATACATCATTTATGTTTTTTAAATAACGTAACATATAAAATCAGAATTTTG